GCTACCTAAATAATGCTTTGGAACATGTGCGAAAGTTTATACCTAGTGGCACTAGATGGTACCTGTGGTTGAATTATAAATGTTCAGGCATTGACGAAGCTTACCATTAGTTTATTCGAGAAACCTGCCTGAACATTTGTGATATGTCTCTAAAAAGTTTTCCTACAAATTCCGAGGATTTGGGATACGTCGCAGACCATGAAGATTCACATCATCCAGAATGGCACCCACGGAAGCATTATAGGCACCTCAGGACTTCAAGGGACCGTAGGAAAGCCTCCCCCGATAGTTCCAGTGACTCGGAACAAGCCTCACAAGAAAGTGGCATCGCGCTCAGTCGCTGTTCATCTCCGTGCTCGGATTGTTGCAAAGGCTGCCATCGTCGTGTGGATAGGTGCCGGTGTCGATTGAAGCGAAGAGGCAATAAATCGCAGTACGTCCTTTGGAAGCGGGATCTCGGCCGGTCGTTTGAAGTGCAGTGTAATTCGGTGGAACTGCCGGAGGCCATCTCCGGGAACTTTACTCCCTCTCGTTGGCAGAATCAGGAGGAGAAACGTCTCGAACGCATGCTAAATTTCAATCATCCACCGCAATATCAACCACCACATCCACCGCTGCAGTATTCAGCGTATGTTCGATATATTCCTGTAGCTGCCCCCTGTTATGTGAGATGGCAGATGAATCAATACGGCGTCCTTCAGCCGGTTGGATGGTATCAGCTATTTCCAAATCAACACAGCTACCAAATAGTGTACCCTGTTCAGCGTAGTGTTAATCAGCAATTTTGTCAATGTTCGCAGTTCTCACACATTTAAATTAGGAAAAAAAATTTTTTTCGGAAATTGTACAAATAGCTAAAAACATAGGTTAACAATAAATTACATTAGTAAAAATTAACAGAAACTTCTATTGATTAACTGTCACTATTGCATCGAAATTTTCAGATTGCAAGCACTGTTGCTCGCAGTAGAAAACGGTTTCACAGGATGGTTTTACCCAATATGTACTGTGAAACCGTTTTTTTAGCTCAATCGGCAACATTCTCAAAATTCAGTGTTCTTCTACGCTCACTGGAAACATTCCTACGCATAGATAAAAGGTCGACAAGCATCACAATATAAATAATACCTGAACAAACCACAACTCGACACATCTCCAATCAACGAAAATAAAATCGACTTAACACTTATTCTACAAATGGTTAAAACATCACGTTCTTCGAACTGATGCCTCCGGTAAAATGTGTAACGGTAAATTGGAATTTTTTGAAAAATCAATGCTCAGTAGTTTATCGCTTGTTATAAAATCTAATGAAACCGAATAAATCTTTTAAGTGTGTAGTTTCAAATGGCACCAATTTATTTGAAATTCGTCAATAGATGGCTGAGCTATGATTTTTCAAACATTGAAAGTTTTGCATTCAAAGTGTTTTAATGTTACCGTAAAACGAGGTAACATTGATAGTTTTTTAAAGTATTTTCAAAATATTTTTTACAGCAATGAATATTTTTCAAATTGTTTTTCTTTTTTAAACTAGTATTGAGGATCCTAGAGTCAATTCTTTAGTAATATGTTTAACGGAAATCAAAGCATTTGCACTATTTTTTTAAGTTTTGTGACCGAATATCAGTATTTTGATTTGGGGTTCCTTTGATAATACTCGATGAATGTACAAAAATGCGTGAAACTCATACAATTTAGTTCAAGTAATATGAAACTTTGAATGAGTATATAATCAGAAAGCATTATAAGCAATAAGAATACAATCCTGATGAATGTGGGCGTCTTAGTGGAATACCTGTATAATGAGAGAGAGAAGGATTAGTAATTTCCATTTAATTTCACTACCTTATTTGCTTATCCTTGACAGATACGCGTATTTCGTCTACAATATGCAGACTTCTTCAGTGTCTTGTAGTCGAGTATTAGTACAAGATACTGAAGAAGTCTGCACATTGTAGACGAAATACGTGTATCTGTCAAGGATAAGCAAATAAGGTAGTGGAATTAAATGGAAATTACTAATCCTTCTCTCTCTCATTATAATAAGAATACAACATTAAATTTTTGATGGCAATATCGTAAGTACATTTCATAAGTGATGGTTTGAGAACTTTTTCAAACATACGAAAAACAAGAAAATTGTTTTTAATATATTATATAATATGTAACACATACTATATAAAAACTATATACAATATCAACGGAAATACCATAAGCTACAATATGGAATCAATGTTTCCAATTCGGAAAAAGCACAGAGAGTAAATTTAATCATTATATTCTACCATCACAGTTACCCGTATTATCATAGATACCCCGTTTTACGGTTCTTCATACGTGAAGTTTAATGATTTTCAAGGTAGGTTGGAAATGCTATCTAACATGATGCTTTAGTGTGATAATTTATTAGCTAGAGAATGGCAGTATGAAAATTGAATAGAAGTTGAAAATGAGCGAAGGGCAATTAATGCGACAGTACTAGTCAATCGCACATTCACGGAGATTTAAAGTATTTCATCAAATATACAGGCAAAAAAGTGGCAAATCTCCTCGTACATTTTACGAGTTAGGTAAACGCACATTTTACGAGTTAGGTAAACTCGAAGAGATTTGAAGCATTTCTTCAAATCGACAGGCAGAAAAGTGGCAAATCTCCTCGTACATTGTACGAGCTAGGTAAAGAAGTGTGCGTTTGACTAGTACTGTCGCATTAATGGCGCTTCGCTTATTTTTAACTTCTATTCAAGTTTCATACTGCCGTACTTTAGCGTTCCTATCCGAGGGGGACAACTCTATCTACGATGCAGAAAATATTGTGCTATGCTGTGGCTAGCTGCGCGCACGCTGAGTAGATAGAAAGAAGATTGATGACGATTCTGAAGATTTCCTGCAAAAAGATGATGCTCGATGCAAGTAGATGCAACAAATGAAAGAAGATTTTTCGAAGATTGATTCGCTAGTGTGAGATTTGTTGAGCATCTTAACTTGAGATTTAGATGTGTCGCCCCCCTCGTTCCTATCTACCTAACCTCTTCAAGACCATTCTCTAGCTTAAAAATTATCACACTAAAGCTTTATGTTAGATAACATTTCCAACCAACATTGAAAGTTTTCCGTTACTCATTTTACCGAAGACATCGTGTTCGGAGAGTTAAAGTGCTTGCAACAATACCCCATTTTCATACTCCTCCTCTGATCCTTCCCTAAACAATTATACCCCTTAAAACCTCGAATAAACCACGAGTAATCGATCCACCTCTACAAGACGTAGTATCTAGTTATTCTCGTTAAACTACAAACAATTATGTATCGGCTCCGTAAAGCTAACACAATTGTCGAAGGCAGAGACGATGTTCAATAAGAGACGCGCGAAAACTGAAACCAAAAGTTCCAATCGAACCGTCAAACGCGGTTCCAATCGAGCAATAAGGCTATCCACGAGACAGTTCTCGCGTCACTTTTCAAATAGACCAATGTAACATATCCACCATTTTGAGAAAATCGAAGTTGAAGCATAGAGGTAACTCTAAGACTACTGGGTCCCGAAGAAAATCATTATTATTTTTGGCTCACTCAGTACCAGAACAACGGTCCCAAGCAGTCCCAAGCTATTTCACTCACCCCTGCATGTTCTGCATGAATCCACACACCCCTGATGTTATCTGTCAAACTTTCATAGCGAATCAAAACAAACATAGTGTAGTAATAGAATTTCAACTAGAATAGGGCACGTTAATCGTTTGCTTGGGACCAATAGGCTACTAAAGTGGTGAGCCAATATAAAATCGTTAGTTTCGTATTGATTGTTGGTTGAAGTTCGACAGATTATTATTTTAACTGTTTAAAAACAATACATTTTGCAATACTATTTTTAATGTGGTCAGTGTATAATAACGTTGAAAATTCAGAAGAAATTGTAAAATCACAATTTTACTATGAATTTCATGCTACAACATAGAAAAAAACACATAGGACTTTTTGACAAGTCGAGTTGTACATCGGACATGTTACATTGGACGATTTTTCTCAATGACATAATCAATCAGTGTTACATTGGACGTTTTGTCTACATGATACTAGATTCCCTTTCACAGATTTCAGAGTATAGTACCTAACTTTAGATTGGCCCCGCCTTTGGAAAATGAGCACCAATCATGTTAGACAGTCCGAATGACCGAAGTAACAATCATGTTGGTTATCGGCTCTTACCTCCTTCGATTGGCAGTGGATATCATCCGCCGACTCCAACACTGCTTGGGGGGCGAGACCGGTTGGTTAATTACCGCCTGTGTTCTGGTTGGCTGCTGGTAGTTTTCCTTGGGGAAGTGAGGTGCGGGGATACTGGACGTAATGGCGATTGGATTTCCTCTGGTCTCTTCGGAACCATCCGGTTGATGTTTCTCCCAAATTAGTACACTGGGCAATCACTTGGTTTGGCAAACTCGCGACACAAGTATAAACTACATTTATTCCCTTTACTACATTTACTACACAGAACAACAACTTAACTCTAACAATTTAAAATGTTCGTCCCCGATGGGAGCATCGACCGTCTTCAACGGCTACCGAAACCAACTGAATTCAAACTCGCTATCTGGTCATCGCTTGACCCATGATCGCGTAGACCAAATCTCCCTCTCGCGCTGTACAAATCTCCGTCCATTCGGTCCATCCTCGCTTCGAACAGTTTTCGCTCGTCTCATCTGCCGCTCTCGATGCCGACCGACCGTAGGTAGCTGGATGATGATGTTGGCTGCTATCCCTTACGTCTGCGCTGCGGAGACCGGACAATAGACCCATCTCGACTCGTAGTCCATTCCCTTTGTTGCCTGCAGATCAGCTGTAGCAGCGACGGTGGTTAACAGCCAGGGATGTAGTGCTCTGGGTGGTTCAGTATCGGACATCCTCACCCACCCAGAAATTCGTAAAAATTTCTGAAAAGAAATAAGAAAACCTCTTCGGAAGGATGGGAGATTGGAAGGGATTTGGATTGGGATTTACAGCGCGATATTCTGGGTGACGTGTTCTTCTTCATCGGTTGGAATAGGAAGAATACAAATCCTTTCCACCGGACGCCTCAGCTCACCGGTGGCAGTCTTAACGGTCACGACTCTGGTAATGTTGTCATCGCCAGGGTGTAGAGCAATGATTCTTCCCATCTTCCAACGGATCGGAGGGAGGTTTTCATCCTTGATGATAACTAGTTTTCCTGGTTCTATGGGAATTGCAGGCTTCCATCTTTTGGTTCTGGCCTGCAGTTGGCTCAAATATTCCCGTCGCCAACGGACCCAGAAATGCTGCAGTTTCTGCTGGATCACTTGGAACTGATTCAGGCGGTTCACCGGGACGGTGAGATGTTCGACATCAGGAAGAGCTTGAAGCGACGAGCCCACAAGGAAGTGCGCCGGTGTCAACGGCTCCAAGTCATCTGGGTCATCCGACATTGGGGTTAACGGACGGGAATTCAGGCAGGCCTCAACCTGCGTTAGCAGCGTGGTATAATCTTCCAATGAAAATACCGCTTCTCCGATAACATTCAGCAAGTGTTTCTTGGCCGACCGGACAGCTGCCTCCCAGAGGCCTCCGAAGTGTGGAGCACTCGGGGGATTGAAGTGCCATTGAATACTGTCCGTGGCGAGCTCGGTAGCGATTCGTTCGTTGTGTTCTCGATCCTTCAGCAAACGGAAGAGTTCGGTCAATTGGTTCCTAGCGCCGACGAAATTTGTGCCATTATCTGAATAGATATCTGAGCATTTTCCTCGCCGCGACACAAATCGTCGCAACGCTTGCATGAATCGCTCTGTTGAAAGGTCAGAAACGAGTTCCAAGTGTACTGCCTTTGTACCGAGACAGATAAACACTGCCACGTAGGCCTTCACGGCCGCGCGTCTCGGAGCTGGTCGTATATAGACGGGGCCAAAGTAGTCCACGCCTGTTTTCGTAAACGGTCGGGATACTGTTACACGAGGTGATGGCAACTCTCCCATGAATTGCTGGACAGTAGACGGTTTAGTACGGTAGCATCTCAAGCACCGATGTACTACCTCTCTTGCTACGTTCCTCCCACCAAGAGGCCAGAATTGCAGCCGAATCGCTCCCAATAGTAGTTGGGGTCCGGCATGTAACAGTCGCTCATGAAAATGTTTCATTATCATACGGGTTAACTGATGACGTGCTGGTAATACTGCGGGATGTTTGGTACCTTCCAGTTCATCGGAATTCTTCAGACGACCTCCTACTCTGATGATTCCATCCTTGCAGATGAACGGATGAAACCACCTCAACGGTGACTTCCTCGATACGTACTCTCCTTTCGATAAAACCCTCCATTCTTCTGCGAAGACTTCTCGTTGGACGTTCCGCAGAATAGCATTTTCAGCAGCCTTCAGCTCCGCTGTGGTTAGGAATCCGTTTGGAGAACGATTTGCTGCTGGGATTTGTAGAAGATTCATCAGCCGTAGCCAATAAGCTGTTCGTCGAATCAGGTCAGCGTACGATCCAAATTTGCTGAGGTACATTTCATTGAATTCCGCTACGGATGATCCGGTACACGCAACTACGGCGCGGCGCCTTTCTTCCTCTCCTGCTTCTAGGTTTTCTTCAACAGCACCAGGCCATGATTCTGGAGCTTGCTTCAACCAATACGGACCTTCCCACCAGAGTTCGTTGTGGACGATGTCTTCAGGTGACACTCCACGTGATATTAGGTCCGCTGGGTTGTCTGTACCGGGTACGTGTCTCCATTGCCATCCTTCCGTTAGCGTTTGAATTTTTGCCACCCTGTTGGCAACGAACGTGGTCCAAGTTGCTGGTGTAGATTCGATCCAACGCAGCACACATGTGGAATCCGTCCAGAAGTACGTCTGAGCCGCCAACCGAATAGAGTTTTTGACCTTCTCGTATAGCTGGGACAATAAGAGCACACCACAGAGCTCTAATCGAGGGATAGACTGACAACGGAGTGGAGCCACCTTGGATCGGGATGATAAGAGTCGAACCTTGATTGCTCCGCTGGAATCCTGACTTCGTAGGTAGATGCAACCACCATACGCCCTTTCAGAAGCATCCGAGAAGCAGTGCATCTCCACGGTCGTGGCATAGGGTATGATAACACAACGATCGACACGAATTTGGTTCAGAAGTGGAAGTTTTTCGTGGAATTTCCGCCAGTTCTCACCCACCGTTGGAGGTACTGGTTGATCCCAATCCAACCGGTTACCGTTTCTGTCCTCTAGCGTCCACAGGTGCTGCATCAAGATTTTGGCAGATGCTGTCGTAGCTCCGATCAGGCCAAGAGGATCAAATAACGTAGCGATGAGTGATAGGATACGGCGCTTCGTTAGTGGGATATGAGGATCTAACTGCGGGACTTCGAACTGGAATCGTAGGGTATCGGTGTTGGGCATCCATGTCAGGCCCAACGTTTTGACCGATTGGTTCGGATCTAGGTTGATTCCGGTACTATTGGGAATAGCCAGATTCTCCGTGGGTACGCCTTCCAAAACTGCGGGAATATTGCAGGACCATTTCCTGAGCTTGAAACCACCGCTTTCCATAATCTCCGTTAGTTGGGATCTGAGGGAGATAGCTGTTTCTAGCTCATCCGTGCCAGTGATTACGTCGTCCATGTAGACGTCCTCACGAATTGCCTTTGCTGCGAGCGGGAAACGGGTTTCTTCGTCAGCTGCCAGCTGCTGAAGAGTACGAGTTGCTAGAAAGGGAGCGGGTTTGGTTCCATACGTGACGGTTTCTAGCTCGTATACCGTAACGTCCTCGTCGGGTGAAAACCGGAAGAGTATCGACTGTAGTGGTCGATCCACTGACGAAGTAAGGATCTGCCGAAACATTTTCTCAACATCCGATACGAGGAGAATCTGCTTTGTCCGGCTCCGTAGAATGATTGCTCTCATATCCTCCTGCACAACTGGTCCCACCAGAAGCACATCGTTCAAGGACACTCCGGATGATGTCTTGCATGAGGCGTCGAAGACAACCCTGACCTTGGTGGTGGTACTCGCCTCCTTGACCACCGGATGATGAGGTAGATAACACCGTTTGGTTGACTCCGTTGCGACGTCTTCGACCCTTCGCATGTGCCCCAATTTCAGGTATTCATCCATGAACGCGACGTACTGTTCCCGTAAATTGGAATCCCTTGCCAACCGTCGTTCTGTTCCAAGAAGACGTCGGAATGCGATGTCCCGTGACTCGCCAAGAGTTGGAAGAACCTCTTCATTTTTTGGTAAGGGAACAGTGTACCGACCGTCCGAACCTCTTTGGACCCCACGTTGGAACAGCTCCTCACAGAGTTTTTCTTCTGGAGAAAAGGAATTGGAGAATTCTACTTCTTCGCATAACCAGAACCGTTCCATCAGCTTCTCCAGTTCCATAGTGGCTGAGAAATGGCAGCTGATTTGAGTGGATCTGCTTGGTGTTGAGCAGCCACCATTGGCTACCCATCCGAATACCGATTCCGCGAGGTTTGGGAGATGGTTCTCGATAGAAAGTCTTCGCCCAGTTTCGAAGAACTCGAAGAAATTCTCGATGCCTAGGATGATGTCGACTCCCTTGGATTGGAAGAAAGCTGGATCCGCCAATTGGATTCCATCCGGTAACTTCCATCCTTCCATGTTGATTGGGGTTGTGGGCAAATTCACGGTAACCTTGGGTAATACTAGGAAGCTCATATCCCGCGAATATTCCGAAACTCGCGAGCAAACCATCATTTGAACCTGGTACTTGGCTTTGCTGGTTGTCTGCCCTATACCAAGAACTGAAATGTCGACCCTTTCTCTGGATAATTTCATTCGTTGGCTCAGTCGCTCCGAAACGAAGTTACTTTCAGCGCCAGAGTCCAGAAGAGCTCTAGCGTTGAACCTTGTACCAAAGTCGTCCTCGACGATGACCACCGCAGTCGCTAGTAGGACTGGCGATGAAATCTTCTGAGCCACATTGCATGTCGTGGTGTTCGTGGTCGCCCCGCTAGCCGGTTGATTCGAATTGGAGCTCTTGGAACCTTGAGAGTTTGAGAGATTATTCCTCCCAGCAGCTGCTGCGGCCATGGTAGCGCCCTTCTCCGGTTGGAAGCACACTAGGGTATGGTGCCGACGATTACACTTCCGACAGGAGAACTTGGATTGGCAATCCTTTGCCTGATGACCGGATCGGAAGCTATTTCGGCAGAGTCCGTTGGATTTCAATAGTGAGTCCCTGTCCGCCACGGATAGTCGTTGGAATGCGGAGCATTGATATAGAAGGTGGTTGTCCTCACAAGCCACACATCTTCCCCCGCTCGATTGAACGGAATTGTAACTGGCCTTCAGCGCTGGAAATTTGGGTTTTGGAGCCGTTTGTTGGTTGTGGACGCCCTTGGAGTCTGCTTGCCTTGGAGGGAGTGATTCCAGTACTTGGATCCGCTTACGAAGGAATTCCGTGAGCTCCTCCAGCGAATCTTGTTCCTTGGAGGCCGAACATTCTTCCCAGGCACGACGGGTGTATGGATCCAACCGCATGGTGATGAGATTTACCAGCAACAGGTTCTTGTAGTCCGCTGGTTCGATGATCTGATCGAGGGTTTGAATGTTACGTTCGAAGCTTTCAACAAAGTTGCGCAGTTCGGATACGGATTCCTTACTTAGGGTCGGAAGCTTCAATAATGATTGGACTTGCTTCTTCTTCAGCAACTTGTTGTTGTTATATCGCTTCAATAGCGTGTCCCAAGCGATCTGGTAATTCGCCTTGGTGATCTTCAACGAGTCGATCAGGCTTTTCGGCTCCCCTTGAAGACACCCTTTAAGGTAATGCAGCTTCTCCACCTCGGGCAAGTCGGTTCTCCAATGAATCAACGAGGTGAATAGATCCCGAAAACTCAACCAATCGTCGATGTCCCCGCTGAACGTCTGGAGATTGATTTGTGGTAATCGGACATGATCAACCACACCTTGCATTTTCGGCTCATGGGTAGACTTTTCCAGTTCAGACGGTTCCCGAAGCAGCTTACTCTTGTCCAATAGGAAAGTTTTGGATTCATAGTACCGATCGCTCAACTGTTTGCGAAGCTTTGCATAATAACCCTCTTCATCCTCAAAATCATCCTGAGATTTTAGCTCAACCAAGTTCTCGCTAAATCTCTCCCACAATTCTTCAATTTTTGATAACCGAACTTCTACCTGAGTGGCGGTTGTTTCATCAGAGAACTTCTGAATGAAAGACGAAATGTCATCGAACGAAGATTTCAAATCGTCCAATTGAATCTTCAGCTGCTTCAGGGTTGCTGATCCTTTCCGGGTGATGGGCGGCATGATGATGTGATGTCGAGCAATCGGTAAAAGAAGTAGTGGTGTAGTATACCGCGTATAGTCTCCGCTTCGGCGGACATATACTGCTCGCTTTTACTGACCTGACAGAACAGGTAACTGTTCTACTGCAAATCCAAGTTGAACCAAAAGTAGCAAAAGGTCCGGTGACGTCACATCAATCTTGCCTCGGTAGGGATCGCTCAGTTCAGGTTGAAGTTCAAAGAAGAGGAGAAAGCGGGGGTGTAATATCCAACGAAAGCCTGGCCTCGGCTGGGCATATACTGTGGCAACCTACCTGGAGGTACCAACAGCAGTACCAATACAAATTGCCCAAATTCGGTGGATTCGGCGGATCGGTGGATAATGCGACTCCAGAACGTAGGTGTGTATAGGTTGTAGTACGAAGAGGAAAATCGATATGTAGCAATCGTATGGCTAGCTTCGGTAGGACATATACCGTAGAACTAACCTGGAGGACTAACGGCTTCACCAACCGAAACGAAAAACCAGTCGAGGATGCAAATTGGGATTATCAGCAGACTTGCTCTAACGAGCAGTTCAAATTGCAGGGCTTGCGTGGCGTTAATTGAAGAGGTTTTTACGGGAATTCCAATTAAAATGGTGTATTTTTGTATAGCCTAGCTCGGCAGTAACATATACAAAAAGGTTCACTCACCGGGGAGGGAGTAAATGGCCGCTCCCTCTTCTGCCACCGTTCACAGCAATCTTCAGGTCCAACGGCTTATGCGGAATGCACAACCGTTTCGTAGTCGAACTGTCCGTTGATAGCCGGCTGGATAGCCGTCCTCAGCTCTCGGTACCACCGAATAGAGCTCCGTTCATGTAACGAATCCAAGAGCATGCGTCGAAAGGTTTGCGTTAGAATCATGCAGTCAATGCTTCGGCTAGACATACACCGAACTTGTGAATATTTACCTGGGCAAGCAGATATTCCTGCTGATTCGGTACTCCAGCTCAGCAAGGGATGGCCAGGGGTTGATCCAAAATCGGCCGATGTTGACTGTATGCAACGAAAGTCCTCCAAAGATTCACAGCATCCACCAGCATGTATTCGCACTCCAAATCCAATAATCCAAAATGGGTTCGATTTTCCATCCAGTTTCCTGATCGGTGATGGCGCAATGTGTCTCCGAACAAAGCTGACAATTGTCCTATTATCACCGACTGGCAATGGCGATCCACCAAAGGAGCCTGGGATCCGCGATGGCGATGTGTCGATTGTGCACTTGCCTCGCGATGGCGATTTTCCGCGGGTGCGATGGCGCTCACAGTTCGGCGCTGTTGGTTTCGGCGTGGCGCACAATTATTCCGTCCAACTGGTCCCCGGGTTAGGTATCCGGCTCGAAGGACCAAATGTTGGTTATCGGCTCTTACCTCCTTCGATTGGCAGTGGATATCATCCGCCGACTCCAACACTGCTTGGGGGGCGAGACCGGTTGGTTAATTACCGCCTGTGTTCTGGTTGGCTGCTGGTAGTTTTCCTTGGGGAAGTGAGGTGCGGGGATACTGGACGTAATGGCGATTGGATTTCCTCTGGTCTCTTCGGAACCATCCGGTTGATGTTTCTCCCAAATTAGTACACTGGGCAATCACTTGGTTTGGCAAACTCGCGACACAAGTATAAACTACATTTATTCCCTTTACTACATTTACTACACAGAACAACAACTTAACTCTAACAATTTAAAATGTTCGTCCCCGATGGGAGCATCGACCGTCTTCAACGGCTACCGAAACCAACTGAATTCAAACTCGCTATCTGGTCATCGCTTGACCCATGATCGCGTAGACCAAATCTCCCTCTCGCGCTGTACAAATCTCCGTCCATTCGGTCCATCCTCGCTTCGAACAGTTTTCGCTCGTCTCATCTGCCGCTCTCGATGCCGACCGACCGTAGGTAGCTGGATGATGATGTTGGCTGCTATCCCTTACGTCTGCGCTGCGGAGACCGGACAATAGACCCATCTCGACTCGTAGTCCATTCCCTTTGTTGCCTGCAGATCAGCTGTAGCAGCGACGGTGGTTAACAGCCAGGGATGTAGTGCTCTGGGTGGTTCAGTATCGGACAAATCATATACCCATCATTTCTAACTGTACATTGGACAATTTTTGATCAATGATTATTTTGAATAAATGAAAGTAAATTTGGATTGATGTTTTCGTATCACATACAATGATAGAAGAGCAATAGTTTGTATCGCTTAACTCGATTTGTTTACATTTGTTACATTGGTCTATTTGAAAAGTGACGCGAGAGTTGCGATGAGCTGACTTTTTTGTTTACCAAGAACTTTTGACAGATCACAGTAGAACTGGCAGTTTATTCTCATATAAGATTTTGCTCCGCCGGGGTTAACCTTAATCGGATGACAGTTCAGTGGTACTGTTTACGTGGACTTGGCCAATTGTTTCTCGGGTAGGTTTTCCCGATAATTTTTCAAACTGCAGTGAGATGTAAACCACACTACTGCAATGTCCACGAGCAACATCCTTTCACCACGCATTTCCTCGAAAATTTTCAAGTTAAAATTCGGAAATTATTTGAAATTTTTGAAAAAAAAAATTGAAAAAACGACTTAGTGCTTGTAAACAGTACCACTGAACTGTCAAAAAAGTTCAGCCGATTAACACTGAGTTAATTTGTGACGTCACGCTGCAGTACCTAATGAATTTCTGCTTTGTTTATGTTTACAATCAGCACCATTATCACCAGATCACTCACACACTCTAGATCTCTAGCTGTCAGTTCCATTGAGAAACGTCTCTTGGATCACCTTATGTAAATAAACACGAGCACTGCACGAGGAAAAGCGTGAGGAGTATTGAGATCTGTTTGCTCTGATCTGATTAATTTACTTATTACAAGCTGTAAAAGTGTTAAATGTCTTCCCAATACAACGCCAGAAGTTTGATCTAATAACAAACTGAATAAGTGTAATTTGCACATACGTTGACACTTTAATTCGACTGTTTTCAATTGATTTAATAATATGTTTTATTCGACGTCTATTAAATGTTCTCCAGCTCCTTTATTAGATTGCATTGCATTACTTTACAATATTGCTAAATAAAGGTGAATACAGTCAGTATAATAGCTCTTATACCACTATGCGTCCATGTTGCAATCACATGATTTGTAAATGCTTTATAAACGACGTATTAGATTCATTATTCGACAACACTGATTCAGTATTACAACAAGACGAAATCAGTAGAGTAGTGGTTACCGTTTCCGCTTTCCAATTAGAAGGTCGTGAGTTCAATCCCAAGCTCAACCCTTTTTAATTTGTGTAGAACATAATTAATTTAAATAGTAATCGTCGATCACATGACTCACGATAATGAATGCATCGATCTAGTTTAAAATATAACCGAGCATCCTTTCTTTCGACTTGGCGATGTGAAGAGGAAACATTGATCTCATTTAAAACAACGATGAATGAATTAATCATTCCCACAGGGCCTTGAAGGAGATAGAGTTGTGATCGGGAGTGCTGATAGGTATTTACTTTCATGCAAGCTTTTATAGATTATTGAGTTGCCCATATGATGAATTCTAGGATAGCTCAAATGACACGGCAAGCGGCTGGTGATCGGAAGGTACATGGTTCGAATCCCATACAACGACACATGTATAAGTATTTAATAAATTTTTTTTTTAATACACTTAAGAAACACACCCTTCCCTGTCCCCCCCCCCCCCAGGTCTCTTATTTTGGGTTGATTTTCCCACAGTTGAATAATCGTTTAATAATAAATGTATAATAATGTCTAATTAAACGTTACTTCACATGAGAATCAAGCGTACACAGCTCGAAAAAGTAGTGTAAATTTCTGTTCAATATGATGCACATAAATGGAGCGTCACATATCATATACGTTTACATTATACATCTTGTAAGGTTCTGACATATTTCATGCAATGTAGCAAATATTGTATACAAAAGCCCATCTTTGTAAACAACATTGTTTGCAAGTTGCTCGGCTGCGTGAAATGAAATACAAGTCTACGTGAATGAATGTTTACATCACATTTAAAATTCAGAATTTTTATCAGTGTATACAGAGCATCACTATTTTAAAGAAGCAGTGATGTCTAATAAACGCTGAATAATCAAAAATTTTCTCGTATAAACTCTGTTACAACTCATATAAGTCAAATTAAAACTTTTCGACATACCTTATACACAGAAAAAAATTCTGAATTTTAACTATCGCGTAAAATTTCCCATTGTTTAATTTTGAGCTATACTTGACATAAACAGCGAAATCGTTTACAAGCTTGCAAACAATATTGCTAATTTATGCGATATTGCGCTTAAATTTACATGAAATATCGCGAAAATTTATGCCAAATCTAGCGTTGATTTTATGTGCGCTATATCTCGTATAAATTTACATGAATTTTTCAAACGGTGTACAACACCAGTAGTTCAATGTTGTGGTTGAATAAATTCTCCAGATTTGTGTGAACAAAGCCTGAACAGAAGTTATTATTAAAAATAGTACAAGTACTATTAAGCATGCAGTTGAATAAAATGCCCAAGAAGTCGTTTCTTCAATAGACGGTTGTTTGTTGGGATGGAGGTTGAAATTTAATTTTTGAGATTTAAATAATTATAATTAATTTTGCGTGTGAAAAGAGCTGTAGGATACTACCATAGAGGTAACTCTAAGACCACTGGGTCCCGAAGAAAATCATTATTATTTTTGGCTCACTCAGTACCAGAACAACGGTCCCAAGCAGTCCCAAGCTATTTCACTCACCCCTGCATGTTCTGCATGAATCCACACACCCCTGATGTTATCTGTCAAACTTTCATAGCGAATCAAAACAAACATAGTGTAGTAATAGAATTTCAACTAGAATAGGGTACGTTAATCGTTTGCTTGGGACCAATAGGCTACTAAAGTGGTGAGCCAATTTAAAATCGTTAGTTTCGTATTGATTGTTGATACTACTTACGGAATACAAATAAAAC